CCACACCCCACCCTCCACCCTGGCTGCCTGTGGTTCTCACACAATCTCTGCTTTGTTTACTGGCACATAAATATTTACAATTCAAAGCCAGTATGGTTCCCAGCACAAACAGAAAAGAATATTCCTGAGAGAGTTCAGGGTCTTTACCATATGGATCAGGGGCTCTACTCCCCATACAAAGTCAAACATATTGGGCTGAGGGTCATTTGGTCAGGGAGGGACTGGAACAGGGCAGCAAGGAAAAGGTATCACAAATAAATAGTTGCATAGAGAATGTGGCAAATGTTATAGCTCAGCCTAGCTCACTGAAAGACTGATGCAAGCCTGTATGACCCTTGATCAGCTCTGTGAAACTTGATTGATTTCCTGACATTCCTTGTCTCTCTGCATTACTTCCGATCACAAATCACAGAAAGACTCCTCTATTCTCTCAGGCTGCTAACAAAACCTGCAGGCTGCTAAGTGCCCTGGCAAAGAAGGGGAGTCCCAGCCCCAGCACGTGGGAAAACACTGCTGCATCTTTACCATTTTGCACAGTAACATACGTGCTTTGCATAGTGACAGCACATAAAGAAGTTAGCACAGCATCACAGGACAGCACTAAGCCAATGAACCCAGCTAGGATCTAAGCTCAACCAAAAGAGAACACCGACGTAACCATCTTCTAAACACAAGCTTTTAGATTCTCTACAATGGTTCCATTCTTACCTGCATTCAGTGTGCCCTTTGCCCTCTCACAATCCATCTAAATTACTATCAGTGTGTATCGCTGAACTGCAGTCTTCATAGCAATATAATCTTCCTCTCTCTCTCCACACCCCTCTCTCTCCCTCCCTACTGAATAAGGGCCTCAAATCATGTCAACACCAAGGTTTGGAGAAGCCTGAGCTAAGAAGAAGATAAGATTGTGTCTGAATTGCACAGACTGATGTTAAAATCCTCTCTCTGAAACCCTAGTAAATATACTGGGGCTGGGCAAGTTGCAGCCATCTTTCCTCATTCCCTGGGCTCTCTTGGTTAAACATGCTACATAATGATGGGTAACAGGCATACTCTGCCCCAAGGAAGACTGTGTCTGGATCCAGCTGTCTTTTAAACTGCATCTGGAACATTGGAAAGGATGGTTTTGACCTTCTCCATTCTGGAAAAAGTGTCTCTTATTCAACTTTCTCAAGTTCCAGGACAGAGTCTCAGTGGAGAGATAACTTGTCTTCCAGCTACAGCTGGTGGGAAAAGAAATGCAAGTGGAAGAGAATGCTGACAGAGAAGAAAATCTATTACCTGCAAACAGGAAATCATCTTCTTTGCTTCCTCCATTTCCTTTTCCAAATGGTCCTGTTGTTCCAGAAGTTGCTCCTCCCATGAATTCTCCAAATAGGACCCAGGGTTCCCTGCTTGCCACTCAGGCTGAAAATGAGATTCTGTCTCTTCTGGAAGAGAGAGCAGCTGAATGTGATCATAACAGACAGATGACTCCAGAAAAGACCTGCACCACACAATAATTGCCTACTGCCCACACTAGCTATCACTAACAAACAGCATGTCTTCTAGGTGGTACCAAGGAAGGTACTACAGGTGTGATATCTTGTCTAATCTCAAGGATTTATGCCAAGGAAGCTTTCCTACATACACATATATGAAAGATAAGCATCACTCCCCTTCATTAACTTTGCTGCATCCCACTCAGTGTTGAAGACTTCAAAGCACATCACAATGGGGAATGCACTGCACTGTGTGCAGCAGAAAATACCTAAGGGGAAAAAAGCAACTGTGGGATTTGAAGAGCCTGTCTTAGTGTTAAGAGAGTGCCGAGGACCCACTGAAGGTGACATTAAACAGTATTTCTACTTGTCAAATAACATAGCTTTCTCAAAGTGGACAACACACCTAATTCTGAAAAACTTTTCTCTTAATAGCAAGTTTAATAGCCTTGCATGCTTTTTCTGATCCCCACAGATCACTGGTTAGCTATTATCCACTGGCTGGCTTTTCCTTCAAACTACATGAAAATTTTAAGTGTAAACTGACCATATCGCAGGGGATTTGTGGCAATACAGCAATGACTTCTCAAAGCAAACACCACAACAATACTGCAATTGTTCAATTCTTTGCCACTCAACCTATGTACAGATGTGCTGCAAACACAGAGCCTTGCACAAAGTGAAGTTATGCATCACAGGCTTGACTCTTTAAGGGAATTTTAAATGTTTTTTTCAACATGGCCTAATGAGGCTGTCATGACAGCATTCACTGCACATGACTCAGTCCTTCTCCAGAGCATTTTATTTCTCAAGCATTACTTAGCAAGCCTCATAGACATCACCATATTATGGCATTATTGTAGTGTTACATATTTTGGATACCCATTCTCTACATTCATTTCCGTCACTGGGAAACTTTTCAGCAAGTTTATGATACAAACAAATCCCAAGGAAAGTGTGAGCTGTAAAGCATTATCTGCAAGGAACCTGTTTTAGTTTCTGTTTCTTCAGTGTGGATGATCACAAGTCTTTCCTTCTCCTCTGATGGGGCTACAGTGGATTCGCTCTTCACACTATGGATAGGACTGGGCGATGTAAGACTGCAGAAGGAGAAACAGGTACTTTCAGTGCTGATCAGCATCATCCTCATCCAAGATAGACGTGAATATACAGGCAGTCTTGTTTAAACTAAGAATGATCTGCATACTAGAGAAGCCATTAACAAACCAAACTGGGCAGGTAACTTTTCCATCACTTTACATCAGTGCAATAGCATAACTAGTAAGTAGCACAATGTGTCTCTTCATTTTTCTAAACAAAATCCAAGTTTGAGACTGTGACCACAGAATTCATATACAGTCAACACAGGGGAAAGACCACACTTTAATGAAGGTCTGCTCAGAAACAATTTCCTGCAAGCCTTATGTGCATACTACAAGCTGAACAAAAAGCCACCCTGGCTTGCTTCATCTCTTACTCTGGTTTTTCAGGAGTACCACTTCACTATCTTGAAATTCCAAGGGCAAAATACTTTTGAAAGGCAGATACAACTCACTCATGTTCTTAGGCTAAAATTCCTTGAAAGCACCCGCATATTTTCACTGGAGCCATCTCAGCTGACTGTGAGGTTCAAGCAATCTTTTTTCAGAAATTCTTCCTAAATGCATCCCCCAGACAACATCAAAAGGTGGCTGAAGCTCACTGACCCATTCAATGTACCTCTAAAGTTGCAGGAACTAATCCTTCCAAGTGTGAGCAGGAGTTAATTTTTCATTCTCCCTGACACAGAAACAAAGGACAGAGAACAAAAAGAAAACAGTGTGGAAATAATATAATAGGCTTAGAAAAATAAGAGGCTTCAACAGCTCGCCTTCCGCATCTTCCCAGCGCTCCTGCTACATATTCCACAGCTCTCTCAAAGAATCAGAAAAGCCTTGCAATAGAGATGGAAATGACTTTCTAGCAGCTATCTCTGGTCCACTCCCACAGCCAGTGCTGGCCTACCTCATTTATATTACAGACCTTCAAGCAGTCTAGCTTTAATGGTCCAGACCAAATCGACTTTCATAATGTTGAAGATGTGTGCAACTTACTAAGTGAAAGAAGAACCATTTCTAATGGGCATCTCTAACAGCTACAGTACCTGTTCTTCCCTGGTCAAACAGGGTGCGTACGATTGTCAAAGAGGTCTAGGACACCTGGCTTTGCTCAAGGACTTAACTTCAGGAAGGCTAACGTCATTACAAGAGTCCCTGATTAGGCACATTTTGATTACAACATTCGTAACCAGCACCCTGCTCCTGCTTGTCGCTGAATGAGTGCACAACAAAATTAAAATAATTGTTTGGGAGCCCAGAGAGTACTGCTGGGCTTGCATTGTATAACAAGGGTCAGAAGAACGGATGAAACTTTCAAACAGCACAGGTACAAACAGGAAGCCCAGCTGATCTAGCATGTCCAGTAACTTGGAAAGGGATTACCTCCTTCTAGGAATAGATCTCAATATTCCCCTTGCATATTCCCTGCTGATACTCCGAATGTGCCATCATCCTGATAAGGCCACTGAAAAGTGCACTGCTCATTCTCATTCATGGAAAAGATGAAAGAATGAGCACTGTCCTAGAAAAACAATGCTAGCAACTGTTGGGTGAGAAAGTGGAGAAACTGAGGGACGAGCAAGAACAGGGAACTGGAAGGACGAATGAGCAGGTCAAAAAGCAAGGGGCTACAGAGCCTGGAAATAACATTCCCCTCTTCCAAAGTCTGCTCCTCTTAGCACTGGATCTAAAGCCCAAAGTAAATACAAAGGATCCCAGCTGGGGCAGGGAGGTGAGGTTAAGTGGTCACTACAGGTGTCCACATCATAGACAGTTTTGCAAATAAATGCTTAGGCATTCCTATGTCCACAGTCCACTTTCCAGACAGCTTCCCTATTTTAAAAGGCCAGTGAGTTCACATGGCATCAATGACATCTCAAACCATGCCAAACAGTGAAAGATGCACTCAGACGAAGCAGTAGCACAGGTCACGTTGCCTCATCAAGTTAATGCTGGAAACATTTCTACAGTTTTTGTATCAGCCACCAAACCTGTCAGAGTATGAAGTATCCACTGATGCAATTTGTTATTCAAAGTACATAACAATCTGTGATTAAAGCATGCCAAAATAACTGCTGGGAAATTAAAGCTATCTAAGACAGAATTATTACGCAAACTGTTCCACTTTATTCCTTTCACCAATTGGTTTATTAACCCATATTCTTTCTCCACAGAGTCCCAGAGTTGCCAGTGCCTGCACAGTCAAGGCTTTAGGGCAACAGCCCCAGTGATAAGTCTGAATTCTCATAATTTTAATAAACACCCCATCCCTGCTGTTTCAAATGACAATGGCAACAATCGCTCACCATTTGACCTGCTTCCCTCCCATGATCCCACTTTAACCTTTCGCCTCAAAGAATCCGTTTCCCGGAGAGCCTCAGGTTTCTGGCTACAGACATGCCTTGTCCCTTCACATGCTCAAAATTCAGTGCAGAAGATGCCAGTTCCTGTCAAACTACTGGAGAAATATTTGCAAGCCACATCGCTTCACGTTAGCTGAAAGATTCACAGCAGAAAAAAAACAACAAACCACAAAAACCTCAGGGTCTTTTGCAAGAAACCGTCGGAGAGCAGATCAGCAGCCCCCCCAACACATATTTGATTCCAGAGTCAGGGAATTCCGCAGCCTGGGTTTGCCTTTGCTGGTTTTCCTCTTGGGTTATTTGTCTCTTGCTGCTGCATTTTGGTCAGCTGCACAGCCAGTTGTTTTCATCAGAAGGATGGCGATCTGGATTGCCAGTGCTGTTTCTCATCCCATTCTGCCCTCTTTAGATTCCAAGCACCTGCTGCAGATGCCAGCAATAACCAAGAGAAGGTACTCCTGCAAGCAGTAGGTTTCCTGCTCTTCCAGGCTTGGATGCAGTTTCGGAAGATGGCATGCAGCACTTCCCAGCCCTATGCACGGCTCCCTCTTCCTTGCTATCTCCAGCTCCCTCTCCCTCCTGCTGTCACACAGGCTGTGCAAGGCAGAGCTTTTTCTCTGAGATGCCTGGCTCAGAGTGGGGGAGGGAAGGCTGGTGGAATGGGAGGGGAAAGGGAGATGGATGGGTGAGGGGCTCAGTGGCCTGGGAATCTGTCTGATTTTGGCAAATTTTCCATGAATCATTTCAATTGCCTTTGCTTATTAAAGCTTTTGTCTCTGGGAATTCTGTTATTCAGGCTGTGAGCTCTCTTACTGAAGAGTTAATGCAGAAATGAGCTGATGCTAGGCAGGGGATGCTGCCCTGGGACAGACGCAACAGCAGCACACTTAGATGGAGGGGATGGCTGCAGTTAATAACTACATCTCCAATTAAAAAAGTGGCTTGCTTCTCCCAGACGGTTCTCATAACTAAGCTAGTACATTTCTCTCTGGAAGGAAAGAGAAACAAGCATCTTGTTTGCATCATGAAGCCTGGTGTCAGCAGAAGACATCCCCAGGAGCTGGAGGTCAGATTGCTCCCAATTTCCTTGGGTAGATGACTGATGACTTATGTAAAGATTCTCACCATATCATGTCCTATCAGCAAAAATATCACCATTACCATGTGGTAAGAAAACTCATGACATTATGGGGAAACACAAAAACCACAAACTGATTTAAGATGTGCTCAGAAATTTTCACTCGCTGCCAAAATACAGCAGTTGCCTGAAAACTGCCCTTTATAGAGTGGAAGAGTACTCTTCAAATACTACAGCTACCTTAAAGGGAAGAATGAGTGGAGGGAACAGCACATTTCATTCGTTGTCCAACTGAAATCACAGTTTAAGAAGCAACACCAAAGTCCTGTGACATTATCATGAAATCCTGTTGCCAAGATCAGAATTTTTACATCCCCCTCTGGAATGACAGCTTCAAAAGTACACTCTCTACTGACATCATGTGGAGGCAGTGGTCCAATACCGACTCACATGGAGTTCCTATACTCTTCCAAATGTATGTCTCTATTTATAAACACAACCTCACAACAATACACACCAGATTTTGGGGATAAGTACTAACTACTGCATTTTTTCCTCTGTTGGGACAAACAACCTTAATTTTCAGGTACATGGAGGCCTTTTTGTACTATGGAGCATCAAAAGTGGTCTGAGAAATCCTGTGGCGACATCCTGCCTGCTGAGAAACCGTCAGTGGCAATCTGTCCTAGGAAAATAAACCTCCCCACTTCTGCACAGATCAGGTGAGGAGCAGCTTTGCTCTCTTAGTCTGTTCCAGAAGAGATGAAATGGAGCTAAGGATCACATCCAGAGAGAGATCTAATATGTTCGGTTACAGAGTCCTTTGTCTTCAAGCTACATTCATGTTCTCTGGGAAAAAAGGGAAAGGTTGTTCTTTACTATGAAGCTGTCCACACTGGATCAGCTCCTCCACTGTAGTACAGCTTCTCTTCAAAAGTCCTTTCAGGTACACTCTCTTCTATATCCATGAAAACAAACAACACAGCTACTCTGCCTCTTCCTTTCTGTGAAGCAGGCCACAAACTCCATTTCAGCATCCCTCATGTCAGACCTTGCTCAAAAGGCTCCACCTGTACATTCAGATTCTCAGTAAAATCTTTAGCTGTGTCTTTCCTAATCCTATTCCCCTGATCTCCCTGAGGGACACTCCAGAGCTTTAGACAACTGTAACTCAGAAGTTCCTAGCTCTTTGTGATCACATCATGAACGCAAGCAATTTTATCTGTGGGAGAAACAGCAGTAAACCGCTGCTTCACATTGGTTTCTGAGGCTTCATTCTCCAGGTCAGGCAGGAGACGATGTTGGGAATCCTATTTTCTATCAGAGATAGCCAGATCACAGTGATAAGAAAGGGCACTTCAGGGAATGTCAGAAAAAGGACCACGCGGGGACACATTTTGGCAATAAAGCTCCTTACCTGGAAGACTGGGACTCCAACGGCAGATTCTGCTGCCCTTCATACTGCTGCACCAGTGCCCGGACACTCCAGTAGGGGTTTTCAATCTCCTCATCCATGCTGCTATTTCTGGAGATAATAATCATAGAACGAGGAAACCCTCACCTGACAGGAGCAGAAATTCTTCTTGTCTCCAAGAAGAAAGGTAGGAAAGCTAATGAAAGGAAGGTAAGAAGGAGGGGACAGCTAGAAAACTGCCAATTAATAAAATTCTCCTATCAGGGAGCTCCATCCCATTTTCTTGGTGTGAGAGAAAGAGACAAACAAGCCCTTACCTTATAAACTCATCCCTAATTCTGTGACTAGAAAACTCCAAAAGCTCCAGGAAGGAAAGGAAAAGAACAGAATGTGCAAATAGCACAAGGACTGGCTTTTCTGAAGAACTCCCAGCCCAAGGCCTTTGCAAGAGAAATCTTTTCAACCTTATTTCCAAACTGCTTCATGGGTACTCCCTTAAGCCAATATAATATGGGCAAATGACCTTCAGCTGTGTAAATTAAACTGTCAACAGACAACCATCCGGCTTCCATTTAAATGACATTACTATTGTTTTTATAATCCACATGTCACCTTTTGGAAATGTTAAATGTGCTTTTCAGAATTACATGGCATTGTTATTTTGCTGTAAAACCTATAAAGAACCTGGGATATCTGCAGTCTTCATCATAAGACAGCCAGGCTAGGTCAGTACTCCCCTTTGTTAGGCCACTATCTACGCAGGTTTCCCTGAGACAGCAGTGGTTTGTCTCCGTTTGCACAAGAGGAGAGCTACCTTACACCAGGAATTGTCAGAATAAGGAAGTACTTATTTTAAAAGAAATTGTGTCCATTTGCTAATATGACCTGACCTCACATAACCAGGAAAAATTCATTACCTCTGTCTGTGCCGGAAAACATCGCGGCCGGATTGCAAGACATCTTGACGAACATCTGCCAGAGCAGCCACCGCCCCTTGGGCCACTGCAGCAGCGGAGCGAGGCCTGTGACTGGCGGACGATGCTGACAAGCTCTTCCCCACCATGCCACCAGGGCTATGATTCATTGCTCTCCCAGAGCCTGGTTTGAAATGAGCAGCTAAGGCCAGGATCAACCTCATGATAGATTTCAAGTTCCCATCAACGATATCTGCAAAATGCAAGTAAAGCCAAGGACTATGCCGTTAACATGAAGTCCCACCAGAGCTGTATCTGACCAACAACTATGAATATAATTAAACCCAAAGGGACCATGCTGAGGACTACGCAAAAAGGACCGCATTACAGCACTGATGCCTAGCTCCGCCTGTTTTGTACAAACAGCAAACTGACTGCCACCTACAGATCACAAGTTTAAATGCTTTGAACAGACCTGAGCCTCCCCTCTATGGCCATTTCCAGCTAACAATCCAGTAGATTATGTGACAGCACATGGTAATTACTGAATGCTCACTGGAAAAGTACAGCAGTTACTGAAGACTACCACAGTCACTCCAATTAGCACATGGAATTTGCCTTTTTTTTTCCTTAATACTAAAGACCAGAGAACAGCAATGTATTTCTTTCGCAATAGCCTGTCTTCTACCCCATAGATCTATTCACACACACATCAGCAATCCTCATGCTACCTGACTAAACCATGCCATAGACACGTGATTTTGCGTACTGGGTCTCCTCCCTATTTACAGGCCACGTAAAACAATATCACATGTTTCCAGCGGACCAGAAATATCGTTTCCATGTCTCATTTCACAGCAGCAGGTTTATATGTCCTGAAAACTCATATAATGATTTATATGAGTGAAAGATTCCTCATTACACCATTACTTGATCTTGTGACTGCTCAGTAGCAAGAGAAAAGGCACTTTTGTTTCTGTGCACTGTGCTGCTACCAAAAGCAGTCAAAACCACAGCATCATTCAACCCAAACCCTGTTACAGAACCAGGGAGGAAAAAACCACCTCCCCCACAAACCAATGCATTATTGGCTTGACATGAAACAAGCCTTCAACAGACAGAATCATCTGTGGCGACCACCAGCAGCACAAACCTTTTGCTGATGTCTGATGCATGCGGATCTTTTTTGATGCCACAAACTGTAAGACTTTCTCCACATTTTCCTTCATCTCCTGCTGGCTGGTGGGGTTGACCTGAATGCCATTCAACTTCTCACCAGCTAAAGGAGAAAAAAAACTTCATTAGAGAACTGAACTGCTTGGTGCTGTCACAGAAATTACTATAGGTGTAGGGGCTTGATCTTCTCTCTTGTCTGGGTACTGCAAGAGGTATGCATGCCTTCTTGTCCTGCTTGTAAGGTATCCAGTACCAGGAATAACTAGGTTAGAGACGGTATTTGGTTTATTTGGCAAGGTTTTGGTAGCAGAGGGACTACAGGGGTGGCTTCTGTAAGAAGATGCCAGAAGCTTCCCCATGTGCAACAGAGCCAGTTCCAGCTGGCTCCAGGATGGACTGCTGGAGCAGCCTGTTTCTGAAGGACTGCACCACATGGCAAGGACCCATGCTGGATCAGTTCATGAAGAACTGCAGCCTGTGGGAAGCACCCACATTGGAGAAGTTCGTAGAGGACTGTCTCCTGTGCATGGGACCCCACACTGGAGCATGGGAAGAATGTGAGGAGGAAGGAGAAGCAGAGACAACACAAAACAGACTGACTGCAACCCCCATTCCCCTGTGCTGCTCGAGGGGAGGACGTAGAGCATTCAGGAGTGAAGGTAAGGCTGGGAAGAAGGGAGTATCTCAGCAAGGAGGTCACTTTTCCAAAAAGGCCATACACTGACACCATCCCTCTACAAAGTAAATCCTTTCATAACTCCATTCCAGTCTCGTGGGAGTTAATATGGCCCCTGACAGGTTTTAGCGTATCTGTTGTAACTGGCTGGTAAAACGTAAGGATTTAAATAAAATTGCATTTATTACTTGCTTTATGATTGTTTTCTTTTAAAATCACTCTCTCTCCCCTGAAAGCTCTGACACTACCGTTAACATCTGCCAGTATGCCTGACAGATGTCAGAGCCAAAGCCAGCCTCTTGTACACAAGATCTACAACTGCAATATGAAAAATAGTGCCATATGGCATTACTAACCTACAATCTCAATGAGCAAAGCAAGAATGACTCCATCTCGGAGATCTTGTCTCAGGTCTTGGACTGGCTTTATTGTTGGCTTCTTCTTCAGCTGGGAATTCACCCAGGCTACATATGCCTGTAGTTGTTGCTGAAAATAGAAAACAAAATGTTTGCACGTCATTGTCATTTCTGGGGAAAGCTGCACAGCTCTCACTTTTCTCTTTCATCTTCACAGATCTCACTGGCTTTTGCCCTTGAAAACAAACATCAGTGGTCTCATCCCAAAGCCTGCTGGGCACTAACTGACATCACTGCACACTACGCAGCTCGCTCCATGCCAGAACAGGAAGAACAAGCAGGCAGCAGGACAGGACTCATGATCTAAGCACAGCCGAGAAGAAAGCTTTACATTACATTTAATCTAGGTTGGTGCCCAAACCAATGCTGTCATCCCCTCATTTTTGGTGCCAGAATTGGTTCACTGACAGCATTTAGTGTACCATCCACACAATTTTCTTCCACATATAAAGAAAGTATAAAACCCACAATACAGAAGCAAGAAACCCTGTGCTATTTCCCATTAAACTATGCCACCTACCAAAAGAAACAACCAGAACAGATTTCCTGGAAGAGATAACAGCCTCCCTCCTTAACACTAACAAGATGGCTCACTTGTAACAGGGAAGCCACATTGTTGTGTAGCCTCCTTCCTCCTTTTCCTTGGAGCTGCATCACCATTTCTAATGGCCCATTTTCTATTTCTGTACATAACTATGCCACCTACCAAAAGAAACAACCAGAACAGATTTCCTGGAAGAGATAACAGCCTCCCTCCTTAACACTAACAAGATGGCTCACTTGTAACAGGGAAGCCACATTGTTGTGCCCCCTTCCTCCATTTCCTTGGAGCTGCATCAGCATTTCTAATGGCCCATTTTCTATTTCTGTACATGTGGAAGCTGGCTTGCTACAGCACGTAACATCTGCAAGACTGGAAAGCAAGAAGCAGGTCATAGTGAATGCTGCTTCATATAGCTATGTGTGTTGTCACAAGGGAAAGACCAGGGAAACAAACTCAGGCTTCTGGTCAATGTGAGGACTCATCTGTCATAAGTCACCGAAAAGCAAAGAGCAGATTCACATGACCTTTCCATCTCCCTCTCAGTAGCACTTCCATGCTAGGAGCGCTGGTAACACTGAAATCCCTTTGGCCAGGGCTGGTGTGGTACATGGAGAGTAAACAAACTGATCCATTTATAGGATTACCTCTCTTTTCACTAAGCTTCCCATTATTCTGCCAATGCAGCAGGTTTTAAGTCTCCATTCCATATTATCTCAGCAATGTCAGTCAGAGTTTATGCTTTTACAGCCCATCAAAGTCACAATCTGATCACAGCTTCACTCTTAATTATCCTGACACAGGACATCCAACTTTAATCACACCATGGTTCAGTCTGCTGGTTCAGAAAGGTGACTGGACCTGTATTCAATCAGTTCCGCTCACTCAGCGGAGAGCTGGAGAGCAGAACAGAGGAGATGAGCTTGGGGGACTGCCTGATGGCTTTTGAAAAAAAAAGGAAGCAGAAGTAGCAGATTCCTGGAGCAGACTTGGCCTGTCACATGGATTGGATCTGCATGCTCTTCTTTGGCTGTGGCAGCAATGATGCATGTCAGTTTTGTCTGCCCAAATTCAGAGGTCTTTATTTTCTACTTAATGCGACTGGGCACTGTGCAGAATCAACAGGCCTTGACTTCCTCTCTCTCTGTTGCACAAGTTGATGGTCCCGTGCTGATTTTCAGAACAGCGGAGGTAACTTTTGCCACCTGCAAAAAGCACCCGCACCTCTTGTAATTGTATTTTAACTGATCATGTGGGCACTGAGGTGTTCAGGCTCATAACAGTCAAATGCCAGAGCCAGACAGATCACACACTTTCTTTTACACAAATTCAATAAAGCTTTAAGTTATTCAAACAAGTGTGAGAGAAAAGAGGTGGGGCTGTTTATAGTAATACAGCATCCCTGTAGAAATAACTAGATTCATAAGTAAAGACGTACCAAACAGTGTTGCAGCATGAAAACTGCATCTGGGGTCTATGGAATTTAGCGAAGCAGTCTTACCGCAGTTGTGTTTACTATCTTATCATTTTCCAAATCATTTTACAAAGTTCTGAACTGTTACAGTGTACTAATTCCACAAGGGCACTGCCTCTTCCAGCCTACAGAAAATCTACACGTTTTTTAGGAGTCTATACAGTCCTTCCATTCAGCCACTTCTGTTTTCACTCAACAGAAAAACAAACCCTCTCACTAAGCAGTTTGTTTTCTATTTTTTCCCCTGAACGTTCTTCATGCATTCATATGAAAGCATGTTTGGCAGACATTAGTCTTAATCTCTTAAAAGCATGAGAAGGCTGACATTGTTATTAGGAGGAAAAAAGTTACTCCTAAATCCCAGTACATTTACTTTTAAACAATTATTACTAAAAGGTGGACTTTGAGGCAATGGAATATGGATGTCACCATTACAAAGTAATTCCGTACCAGTAACTGCTGTAATACTGCAGACTTACATTTCATTAGCAGACTGACTTTGTTGTTTGATTGGTTAGTTTTGCCTTTTTTTCCCCACTAAAGCATAAGATTTTCCTGCAGAAGTTCAGACAGTTGGACTGATGAGCATTTCCTGATTTTGTATCCAAAACCCACAAGTTGTAATGACTTAAACAGAAGACTTGGATTGCTGTAAAGCTAAAAGCATGGGGAGTAAGCTGTCACTTCTGGCAGCTGCGGTGAGCAGGTGACTGAACTTACCGAGAAAATAACAGATATAAAAGTTTAGTGACCTAAAAATGGCAAAGTGGTGTTAAATGCATGAAGGGACAAAGCCCCCAAGCTACTCAGCAGAAATCCCAATAGTAATTTTTAAGCTAGTGAGTCAAAAATGCTTTACTTCACCATTCTGTGGCTTCCCTATCAGCTGGCATGAACTGGGCAGTAACAAGAACATTGTGGTCCATACCTTAAAGCCTTATACCTCCAACACAAGCACAAGGCCCAGCCACAGGTTCAGTTTAATTAATGAGACCAATAAAAGAAGTAAAATACTTGTTTCAAACCATCCAAATTCTGTTTGTTTCAAAACCCAAGACAGCTATCTCAATTCACAACAGAACAGCCCTAAATGCTACCCTAGCAATATTATCTGATACTTGGATGGACATCATTCACAGCATCTATTCTGGCAAGTGCTCCACGTATCATCTTCCAGCACAGAGAAAAAGATTTGCTAGGAAGTATGCTACCACGAGAACCAGCAGCTGTATTCATCCTATTCCACCCCACAAATATACTTCCTAGCTTGTGTTTGTCACTTGTCCACAGAAATACAACAAAAACACATGCTCCATCACCATTTGTGGCTACAGGCATCCCAGCTCAAACAATACACGTGCCCCATACTGTCTTACACAGGTCTCAGCTCCTCTTAGTTAACAAGACTCCAAGGAGGAAAGACAGGAGGTTGGGAACAAACATGGAGGTGGATGACATCTCAAAGGATGACTCCTCCTTCCCTTTTCCAAGGCTGCCCCCCTCTGTGCTTTCCCACTGCTTCTTAACAGGACATGACATTTTATGCCTTCTAAGTAATTAGCAAAAAGAGACACTAACCCCAGAGGCAGACTGAAAATGAGAAGGCAACCCAGACTGAGTAAAGGATGCAGAGTGAGCCTTTGTACCTAGGAGGCTGGACCCAGTAGTCCCCCAAATCTGCTCAGGTCCCCTGCTCTCACAGCTGCTCAAATTATCAGCACTCCTCTTGTTTAGCTCTTGTCTTTCTAGTTAAGGGGAAAGATCCTGTGGCACCTATTATACCAGTTCCTGTGATCTGCAACTAAGTCTCTAGAGCTTTCTACAGAACATCCAAACTTCACAGGACTGAAATCCCTGGAGCTTGCCCTTGCTGGTTTATAACCAGAGAGGGAACAGCTACTGTTCTATCTCGCTCATCCTCTTCCTTCATAATAATTGAATAATTAGCTGAATAATTCTTCCTTCAACCACTGACCAATCAGGAGCTTCCTCCTGCTCCTTGCATTTTGGTGTGAGCTTCAGTTCAGCCAAATCTTAGCCTTGACAGGGCTCACAATGCTCTACTCATGCACCAATATTTCTTTCAAAACCAGGATTTTCAGAAGAAAAACACATCAGCCTAGTCCAAGATTTACTATGCAGAGCACATGTTATTAGGATTATGGTGGAGTTAAGCTTAATCCTATTTATGTTAACACAGCTTTGTGTTCCAAAAAAAGGCTGGTCTACCTGTACCTTGCAATGAAAAGAATTGCTTCGTTACCTGAGAGAAGTTGGAGCCTAGATTGCTTCAGCTCCTAGGCAAGATCAGTGTATTGTGTTTATATCCAAGTTGATCTGGAAGCCTTAAAAGACTTGGTAGGGCAGGAGAAGATTTTTAAAGCAAGGTACTAGGGGCCACCAGTTGTAAAGAGGTTCCCAACTTGCAGACACTTCTGCTGGCAAGTTACAGGTTAGTACTTCAATACACACAACATCACAGAGCGCAATTTTACTTCAGATCACTTATTCAGCATATACCCCAGAAAAATGCCACAGAGCAATTGGCTATAGGAAAACAGCTGTACAGGTCAGGAGCATATATATCTGTGTGCTTTCAATTGATAGCAAATGCTATGCAGGAGGAAAATGCCATTCTAGCATCAGCAGCTGTAATCTCTTACTGATAATTACAAGTAAGTGTCATTATCTAGCATTTTCCACAGGTGGAAGAAAAACAGCAGCTCTATTGCAAATTTCCTGCCAGTTGTAGTTGTCCTTTCTGTGCTGGTTTTGGCTGGGATACTGTCAATTTTCTCCAAAGTAGCCCCACGCTAGCTATGCTCTGGATGTGTGCTGAAAACAGTGTTGCTAACACAGGGATGTTTTTGTTATTGCTGAGCAGTGCTTACACAGAGTCAAGGCCTTTTCTGCTTCTCACACCACCTCACCAGCAAGTAGGCTGGAGATGCACAAGAAGTTGGGGAGGACAGAGCTGGGACAGCTGACCCCAACTGAACAAAGTGATACTCCACACCATACAATGTCATGCTCAGCATATAAAGCTGGGGGAAGA